GAGGCACCACCGTCAGACATGCACTCAACATAAATCAGCCAGACACTCACATAAACACACTTTAAGCCAAGCAGCAGCAGCAATATCGATAGATTTATTCGAATCTGTTTAGTGCGGAACGATGGTAGATGGATACACTGAGCATGCACACAGACTTGCATATATGCATGGATACACACTCCTTAACATCTGAGAAACTGATCGATGAATGAATAATGCATGTATCCCATACGAACAAGCGATTCTGGGATGTCCTTGATGCCGAACTATTTGTTTGCGTTATTTCACTCAATACGACGATACGATAGTTCCTCCACTAATCCTAAAAAAATATTTCAGTCATGGAAACATAGTCATGAATATCAAAGTCATGAATATCCTCAGTCAGTCATGAATATCCTCAGTCAATATTTCCCTCAGTCATGAATATCAAAGCATTTTTTTAAATTTCACAACCATCGGCAGTAATCTGACAGCATCGAATATCTCCTCATGTTATCATAGTCAGTGCAACTAGATGAAACTACGATTAGATGAAACACTCTACACTGCAGGCACACACACATATGTGACGAACGATGTCACATATGGTAATGTCTCGATTCGGTTGTTAGCAAGCAAAAAGTTCTCCAACCTAATAGTCTGAATTGATGAAAACATTTGATGTGCCTTGCCAATGGCTTTCACTTGAATACCTCTCGCCAGTTCTTTTACTATCCACGAACCTCGTACAAAACTGAATGTATTTTGGTTGTATGTAGTGTTAGAAATGCTGTTACATTGTACGTTGTATTCGGTTTACAATGCATAAGCAGCAATCGTGCTTCTCAATGTTTCCATTACGATCCATCCGTCGGTCGACATTCTCTTAAAAATGCCCTTCCTCTGCGGTGTCTAACTTGTCTTGTGACGATCACGCTCTCTTTCTATAAACGATCGCATCAACAAAACATTTGGCATAATTGAATCGTTCCATTGAGGATATCGAACAAGAGCGAGGGTGTGTGTGCGCTTCATTCTCTCCTTCTCTTCGTGTCTCTATTCGAATATGTCTCAATGCTTTCATGTCTGACATGTGGTGTATTTCACTTTGAGGAAGTAGCATTATTGAATAATTCTATGGAAGAGTGTTATGCTAGAGCACACATAGTGGACTATAACACTTGGATGGATGTGTACACACAAAGAGAACACCATCATCACATTGCTGTGCGTCTAATCGACTCGATTCTCGCCTTGAAGTGAGCGAATCTAAAATCGAACGCTACCGTTGGGTATTGGTTGTCGTTAGATGCACTCTTCCCTACATGTTAGTAACGTTGAATAGTGCTTGTCTAGGCGAATGCCCACTGCCATCTGCCGTGTTAACGTTAACGTTGCTGTCTTTTGCTCAACTGCTATAGGCTGCTGCTGCTGCTCTGTGTTAGGTTACAAGCTACAATGTACCCTAATAGATCACTTCTCTATACGACTACATTCATCCTATACATCCAGATCCCGTTCTCCTCTGCATCTTCCTCAATCCTTCAACTGACACTTACCACCAACGATTTTGTGTGTCTGTGACGAGTCTGTGTGTTGTGTATGTGTACTAATTTGTTACGTTCGTTCCTCCTTACTACCTTAACTAACCAACTCTACTAACCTTCCTTCTAATACCTTTTCTTTGCGTTCGCTACTCCTTACAAGCAGGCAAGCCGACAGCGCATAACGTTGCTATCGAAATCGCGCACAACCGCCGGTCGCGACCGGTTTGTGTCCTTCTTTTTTTCTAGGAACTAGACGTTCCGAACGGTGATCCATCGCTGATGAGCTTCTGTCCTTTTTCTAGTCGGCTATCGCGTACTTTGTCACGTCTCGAACACATCCTTTCAGTTTTCGGAACTATGGTATGATTTCTTCGAGTAATTCAATTAATGTTGTATTTCAGGTTGGTAAAATCAAAACGACATTTCTTGCTGTGCTCTAACGAATTGTTAGTAACACATTCATCTACGAATGTGAACGAAATGCCGTTTTGATTTCACCAACCTAAAATACAAACAAGACGGAATATTGCATTTCGGATCACTAAACCTTTAGATGTGACAATTTTCAATTATTACGAATCAGCACTGATCACATTCAGTTGAATCGTCCTTTTTCTTCAACATTTTTCATTCCCTGCCGTATACTTATCAAGCTTTTATTACTTTACTACCACCAATCAAAAATCTATTTTGACCGCTTACGTGTGTAAGCACGTATTAAGTCCTGTCGCACAACTCTGCAGGAAATATAGCTTGCTGTAATGCCTTTAATAATTTCTTGTAAAGTGCAAAAGCATTCAGCACTAAAAGTTTTGGCACTCTGACCGAAGAATTCGTCGTCAGCACGGTTGTCTCAGTGCTGTTTTTAATAGATGAGTAGGTTACGATCAGATATTTCTGCTCATCGACCTCTTATCGAGAAGAGATTATTTGTGTTGGCAAATGAAACAGTGAGATTACTTGTGCTGTGTGAAGCTGTGGTTATAGATGGTCAGCGGAACGATGATTTCGAGAATGGCATTCATTCGGTGTGAATCGATTTTGCGCATCTTTGATTGCATGTCCCACGGCATCGTGTTTCCGCTCGTTTTTATCATTATTATATATGTCATCAATATATATTAGTATACATGTTATTATTCTTTCGAAAAATAATTTTAACATGCATTTCTTCATTATGATTTCATTCGAGAATAT